TTTTTTGGAATGTTCCAAACTAAGTCTTCAGCTCCTTAATCAAAGCTAACTTGGTTAGGCACGAACCCAGTGCTTAATTTTGGTCCAGATAAACAGCCTTCTCTCCATTCTATAGACTCCAGTCAATTCTTCACTGAAGTGATGCATATTTCTGGGGTGACAAACCTGGTTCCATCCTGTCCAGAACTTGCAGCTCCAAGGAAGATATTGAGCACACTTCAGACCTAAAAAGCCCTGCACAATAATGTGCAGCAGACTATCCCTGCCATACCTTAGTGACAAAAGACAGCCTCTCCTGATTTTGGTTGGAGATATTCACTAAGAAAAAGGGGTAATAAAAAGAAAAAAGGCACTCAATTTGGCTTCAGCTTCAACTTCTGCAACCTACTCTGCATGTTGGAAAAAATATTCTCCCGTATTCCATCCTACGTTTCTTTCATCTGCTACTTCTTGCGTAATGATAATGTAATAAGAGTGGGCTGCCTGCAAATTCAAAAATTTTTGCTCTTCCCTTTATCCATTCTTTTTCTTCTTCTTCTTCTTCTTTTTAAAAAGAAATTATGAGATTTATATACATATATATATATATAAACTGAATGACAGTGAATTCAATTGAAGAATATTTTTTCAAACACATGCTCTGCAGGTGCAATAAACCACCGTGAAATTTTGGAATTTCCTGCAAGAATTGCTTATTTTATCTTGTTTTTTTCCATTTTGGTTTATTTTGTTGATTATTTTACTTTATTATTTTATTTTTACTCTACTTATTTATTTTAATTTCATTTAGTTTCAGTATTTAAGTGCCTCCCCTCCCCTCTCCTCCCCTCCGCTCCCCTCCCTCCCAATTCTATTCCCTTGAAGCCTATTGCTTAAGGCACAGGAAAAGTTGGAGATAATGAGAGTAAAACCTCTTCCTGACGAATATTCAGTTCAAAGAAAAAATGGTAGGTGGTGAGTTATCTGATTTGCTAACAAGGCATATGATTTGTCTCCTTAGTATTTTGTAGTCAGAAATGGCTGTGTGTCTTCAGAACCAGAATCCAAAAACTCATAATTTCACAGCTTGGAAATTAATAGTTAGCCCTTATATACTTGCCCAAAATGTCTTGGACAAGACTAGGAAGTAAACAGAACAGAATCTAGAGATCTGCTCATGTGCTTTAACCACAGAGATTTCCTAATTTCTCAGATAATCCTGCAATATTTTATCATTTTGTATTTAAATATTATAAGTATCCCAGTTTCCTCATTAAGGTTCAGTATGATTTGATTCACCCTCTTTCTTTCTTTGCCTTATACACTGTAATTGCAGGAGGCAAAATTTTATATTTCTGCAGGAATTAGCATGTCACAGAGTTCATGTTTATTGGTTGTGATGTACTGCAATACAAATTACTTTCTATAGCCATTTGAACATAATCAGTAAGTTCAGCAGATACTTATGAATAATTTGATATTATTGCAAACTATAGTTATGGGAAAATAAGTTACATCTCTAAAAAATCACCCAATTTAACCACTTAATCCTGTCAAAATTGCAATAGGCATTCACTGAAGACCCACAAAGTGTAGCTCTGTACATCCTGCTCCTGGAAGTGGTGCTGAATCTGTTCCAAGTCTCTGAGCCAAGTGGGATTCGTAGAATCATAGAATCATTAAGGTTGGAAAAGATCTCTAAGATCACCATGCCCAACCTCAGCCCACCCCCACTTCAGCCCACTGACCACATCCCTCAGTGTCACATCTCCACAGTTCTTGAACACCTCCAGGGACGGTGACTCCACCACTTCCCTGGGCAGCATGTGACAACACCTCACCACTCTTTCAGAGAAGAATTTTTTTCTTTATATCCCCCTTGAGTCATAGTATAGGTGAGTTTGGCTCCAAACTGGCACTAACCTCATCCTCTGGTATGAATGTCCACTTGCAGTTGTGGCACATCAGATATCTCCTGGTACACTGCAACTAATTTAGTTTTATTTGTAAAAAATGTATTACACTTCTCAGTACATTACACTCAATGCAAATTAAAGTGCAGTGTGTAGGGATGGTTTGGAGATAGACTTCAAAAGCCCACTCCAGAAGTGAGCTAATACATTCATGTGGACATGTCCTGATTACCCTTCCATGCCATGCCATCATGTCAGATTTTCCCAGCCCCTCAGAAAGTAAAACATCTTTATTTCCTTCTTTGCAAATTTGTCTTGTATGGGAATGTACAAGATTGAGTAAAACAGATAGATGTAGGTTTTATTTTGACTGTAACAGATAAATTCTACTATGGGTATTATAAGCAAGCAAATGGTCTCCAGTGTGTGGATATTTATGCTCTGCCTAGTAATTCCATAGGAACTCTTCAACTTCTATTAGAATTTTATATTTTCCATGATAAAAAGTGTATCTGATTCCCTTGAACATCATTGACGTCATCACAAAATTCATCAATCTCATCTCAATCTTATAATGATGCTGCCTCAGGAGAGGCTTTTGACTGAAGATAGTGCTTGTCAGTAAATGCAAGTGGTTGAGTTCCAGCTAAGATAGAGGGAAATAACACATAAGCAAACAACGCATTTAAGGCTGACCTTAAGGCTGACCTAAGTTCAGACACACTTTAGCGATAAACTTAAAATATTTTTTTTTCTGGCTGAGATGCCAGCTCCTAACTTATCCATTCAGACTTCCCTTAAAAGCACTGATAGGATCATTGAAGTCAATCAGGTTACTTGTATGCTTCAAATTTGGCATGCCTACATATTTTGTGAAACAGGTGCTGAAAAACACTGTCAGACTTAATGATTGCTGGTGCAGTTGTTGTTTCAAAGAATGATACATTAAAAAGAAAAAAAACATTGTCTAATTTTTTGGGATGTTCACCTTAACTAGAACCATAGACTCATAGAATCATAGAATTGTTTGAGTTGGAATGGACCTTTAAAGGTCATCTAGCCCAAATGCCCTGCAGTAGACATATACACTTATGGCTCCATCAGGTGCTCAGAGCTCTATCCAGCCTGACCTTGAGTGTCTCCAGGGATGGAGCATCCACCACTTCTCTGCAACCCGTGCCAGTGCTTCATTAGGAGCTGCAGAAACTACAAAGTGATGAGGTCATATAAACTGATGGTCAGACATGGCAGGTTGGATTGCCCCTGTATTGTAAAGTAAGCCAGATAACATCTCAGCAAAATATTCTCCAGCAGTAGGAAGTATATTAAAATTCTTGCCACAGCTAATTCCCTCACAAATTCATTGACAATTGCTAGCAGCTTCTGTGAAGAGCTAAGCAGCCTCAAATTATCAGGTGAACTGAATGAGATTCAATGTTTAAAAAAAGTCAGAATAATAATTCAATGAAATTGAAGCACAAAGCCCAGTGGAGAGTGTTCCTGTAAGAATTAAGTTATTAAATTTTAAGCAATTATATGCAATAATGCAGCTGAAATATTGTTTCATAATAAATACTACTGCTGATGCAAATCTGATTCTTTCTAGTGGCTACTATAATTAACTGCATGGTTTCTGAGTCGTTAATTTAGAGGATGAATAATTGGTTAAAACAAGTTTTGTGTATTGCAATGTAATATCCTTGTTCAATTTTCCACTTAATTTCAATTAATATGGGTTCTACATGTATTCCACTGTTGCAACTTTTATGCCTATTATTTTTAATTAGAAAAAAGTGATACCTTGGTAGAAGAGAAGAAATGAACAACACTCTATGTTCTCCCAAGCTTATTCTATTACAGATATTTCAAGCTCATATCCCTTAAATATACACAATGTTAAACATTGTTCCTGAGGCTGGCTGGAACTGGAAGTGCCAATTCCAGTATGAAGCAGAAGGCAAGAAGGGAGAGAGGTGCCCAGAGAGGTGGTGATGCCCCATACCTGGAGACACTCAAGGTCAGGCTGGACGGGGCTCTGAATACCCTGATAGAGCTGTAGGTGTCCCTGTTCGTTGCAGGGGCAATGAACTAGATGGCTTTTAAAGGTCCCTTTCAACTTAAATGATTCTATGAAATGCCTGTACATCACTGTTTTCATAGTACATCTTGCTTTCTCACGCTGTGCTGCTCCAGCAGCCCAGGTGGGCTGGTGTATGCTCCACCACTGCTTCTCTCTGGGAGAGAGGCTCCAGTAACATGGACAGAGAATTCTGTTTTGGTTTCTTTCATTCCTGGCTGCCCCCATACCAAGCTCCTTAGGGACATCGTTCAGTGGGAAATATTGGTGGTTGGTGTACAGTTGGACTAGATGATCTTAGTGGTCTCTGGACTTAATGATTCTATTAATCTATGATTCTATGGTTAATGACCCTGCATTATATGATGCTGCTGAAGGAATTTTTCTTGTGCTTTTCTCAGGAGCTTCAGAAGAAAATAGAAATGGTTTACCAATTCTGGCTTAAGAGGATGAGAGTTATCACCCAGCCTACATTATCAAACTCTTCATGGACATTTTAATGCATTCATCTGCACTGCATCATTATCAATCACTTTTCAAATGGAGAGTTGCAAAGGACCTAAAGACTGGAGAGTTATTATCATAGTAAACATTTTGTACATTTAAAAAACCTGTGTCTAGATCAGTCTGTTCAAACAGTATTGATGCCCATTCTCTGAAATAGAAGTATCACCTGCAAGGCTGCCACTGTATACAACCCATGTTAGCATCTCCACCCCCGGTATTCACTAGAAAGGTTTCTGAGGTGTTTCTGTGAGGTGTAGAGTTGCACAGGGAACAGCATCAACTGGATAGTAAAATTGCAGTAGTAAAACCAACTGGGTAGTAAAATTCTTATTTTTTAAATTATTACTATTATTTATTATTTTTATTTTTAACATAGTCAGTCTGCATAGTGATAAGAACTACGAGCAGCTTAAGGGGACATTTTCCACTATTAATAACCGACCCATTAGCAGATGTTTAAGGAGCTGGTTGCGTTTCAGCCCTGCTAAACACCTAAATACCTGCTTTGTGATGTTCCCTGGCAGGCCAGATGACGCTGAGGACGCAGCACGTTCAGGACTCCAAGATGGGCTTTGTTATCAACGCGATATACTCAATGGCTTACGGCCTCCACAACATGCAGCTGTCGCTGTGTCCAGGCTATGTGGGCCTTTGTGATGCCATGAAACCCATAGATGGACGGAAGCTGCTGGAGTCCCTCATGAAGACCAACTTTACTGGGGTCTCTGGGGACATGATCTTGTTTGATGAGAATGGTGACTCGCCAGGAAGGTAACGTGAACATTTGTCAAACGATTTAAATAGCAGACACGCTAACTGTACGTTGTAGATCATTCACACAATATCAGAACTAAGATCTCATTCCTTATTTTTTATATTTTCAGACTTTCTGAACTTAGTTTTCCAGAATAACTCTTTTTATTACTGTGTGTTTTTAATTGTATCTAATAATATAATTGGAGCAAACAGATGAGTTTTTCAGGTACTCAGCCTTCTTCTGTGGGTGGCAAACCATGAGGCCCTCAATTTTCTGTTTGGAGACCATAATGTCCATCACAGTGTTACCCTTTCTCTCTTTGGGTATTTCAGAATTATGTGTTTTAAAGGTAAGAAGTCATTACTTGAATAATTAACCAGACATGGTTCCTTTACTAAGAAAACTAAAATACAAAAGATGTATTGATTAGTCTGGGATTTTTTTTCTGATTTGAATAATAAAAGTCTGCCTCGTTACCTTCCAAATGAAGCAGTACCATGTGCATAACACACTAAACTAGTAATTCACAGTGTACTGCTGTAAACAAATTAAACAGAGCTAAACATGATTTGCTGTGGCATACATGCAGTGTCCATATGGAAGTACATACTCAGAATACTAATGAGCATTTTTCTAGTTTTCTGCTACTGAACTGTCAGAAGATGAAGAAGTGTGATAGCATTCGAAGTGTATTTATTTTTTCCTTCTAGTTCAGCAAGTAGATTCCTGCCTCATTTCACTGAGTTTACTCCTGTTTGATTGAGGCAGTCCTTTCTGTCAGCACTACTGAGAAGGTTTTAAATGTCTGTGTGATGACAATTTGTGAACAGATGACTAGAGGGAAAACTGGTCATCCTGTGCACTCATTATTTGCATTCCCTCTAATGTAAACTGAAACAAAAGAATTAAGTAAAGAACAGAATAGGACAAGCAAATAAAATCCCATTGGTCAAAATACTCTGATATTTCAAAAGTTTTCTACAATTCCAGAAATTATCTTTTTCTCGTTCTATTTGAAAACCTGTAGTGTCAACATTTTCATCGAAAGATAGCAGGCCAGCCACATGCAAAACAGTCTGCTTCAACCAGTCCTCTGGAAACACACATTTCAAGAATCTTCAGACTCATACGCTAAGGAGGCGCCCCATGAGCTGTCAGGGAAACTCATACAGAGGAACTCAGGAAATAAAAAGAAAAGGGTAGGAATTTACTGTTAGCATTGCTTTGGTATGGAAGGCTGTCTTCCATTATGCGTTTCAATTTTTACAAATTGCTGAATTCGGAAGAAAAAGTACTCAGCTGACAAAATCTGCTTAAAATTTGTCACAGACTTCCCTTAAAAGATTTCTGTTTGATTTTAGTGATATTTAGATGCAATTAATTGCATCCTGTATTATTCCTATCTCATTTCCACTTTTTTCTTATAGAAAGAGTGAAGAGTTCAGTAAATAAATCATATGAGACGCCAATACACCAATGACAACAGCTAAGTTTTGCAAAGGGAACCTCATATTTACCTTTTCTTCATGTTGGCATTCTCAACAATAGTGTTGCAATTCCATTTGGAATTTAACGAATACTTTGGTCTCTTTATATTCAACATTCAATTCTAAAAAAAGATGAGGAAAGAATTCCATTGTGTGCATTCATTTGCACAAGTCACAGTAAAGCACCAGTGTTTCACTGAAGAGCATGGAGCCTCCACATTGTGAATCTCAGTGTAATGTGACTTTTGGAAAGTCCAGCCTCATTAGATGCGTATGAGATACAACAGTCTCTGCCTACTCAAAATAAAGAAATGTGAGTGGGGATAAAATGTTTTTCAGAGCTTGGTTACTATAGAAGCACAGGTCTTTGTTCTCTCCTGTCCTAAAACTGTCACATCATTAAATCCATACTATGTGCTTAAAGTAGCCAATAATGAGTCAAAATTTACTTTTTAGTAAGAAGGTTTTATAGGAAGTCCCATTTCTAATTCCCAGATCTGAATAGTTTCTTGTCTTTTGAGCACTGTCAAATGCTGTTTGCTACAGCTGGGAGATAGTGCAGTTGTGATGGAATACCTCATCTACCCTGTTCACTTCTGTTGCTAGCTGCATCTTCACTTTGTAAAACAGACATGTAAATCCTCACAGCTGTTCTGTGGTAGTGGAGTTAAGCAGGAAAACAGAATGTAAAAAGCCTTCCTGACCTAAATAGCTCTGGATTTTGATGTATAGCAAAAGGGTTTTGACATTATAAAACAGATCACTAATCTCACAAGATGCTTCAAATCCTGGCCCTATCCCCAAAGTTCTTTATGTGTAAGCTGAGCTTTAAGTGTATAGATAGTCAAGAGGAGAGCTTGTTTTAGGTGAGATGAAGACATGGGAAAAAAGATCAGTATGGAAGCAGCAGCCATGATCTCTCAGGGTGATAACAGCTACCTGCAAATATTAAGGAAACTCCAAGAAAGAAATTGGAAAGGCAAGAAAAGTCAAGAAAAATAAGTTGGCTATGTCTTGTCTACTTGCTACCAACAGAATATGGCTTCTCAGCAAACTCATGGCACTTCTGTTTTGAAGCAAGTGTTTTGCACTGTGATTAGGGCACTGCTGGAAATGTGTTATTGCACCATCTGGTCTCTCCTATCCTAAAGTGACAAACTGTCCCTGTGGTGTCTCAAGCAAGCTCCAGGGAACCAGTGATTCATGAACTTCTGCTATAGAAATGACCTTTCCTGAGTCTGGGTATTACTATCAGTCTACCAGTGCTATTCTCTGCAGAGGTCTTGTGAGAGACTACATACTGAGGCAATAGGTTTATTTAATATGTCAAGTTTCTTTTCAGTATCCCCCCTGGGATATAAGCATGGAACTAGTCTACAGCTACTAGAGGGATAATCATTTTAGTTCCAGTGGCCTGATAAGCATCGACAGTACTTTCGTTTATCTGCCCATAAAACTCTGAATTGACAGCTTCAACAAAGCAGCCTTCAGAGGAGCATTACAATGTCCGCAAGGGCTTCTGGGCTAACATTTTTTTACAAACATTATTATGTTTGTAAACTTCAGCAAAAGCAAACGAACAAACAAACCCTTGCAACCTCCTTTTTATTTTTTTTTAACCACATGTAAAATCAACCTGTTTATTTATGTATGTATTTATCTAGATTAAATTTATGTGTCAGTCTGATATTCCTACTTCTAATTTTGACGCAGTATCAAAGGTGTGGATATTTCCTCCTTTATACAAGACAAAAAATAAAATATTCTAAAATCCATGATAACAATTAGGGTTATTCCTCACAAGCTGTGTCATTGCTCATTTCTTTTTGTTTTGGAAAGAGTAAGACCCTCATAGAATCGTAGAATCTTAAAGGTTGGAAAAGACCACTACAATCATCTTGTCCAGTTATCAACACATCACCACCATGCCCATTAAAGCAGGTATCTCATGATATGGATAATGTCATACTGGTCATCCAGTCAGGCTCCATTTCCATTTTATTTCACTGTTTGCTTGCAGTCCCAATCCTGTTTTGCAGGTCCCTGACCTGTGTTTGATTTTGGCACCGACTCCCTGCCAAACTAGTTTCTTCTCTGAGACAGTTAGATGTTATCTCCTGGTTTAAAACATTCAGGGATCCATGTCTGGTGAAGTGTATCGAAGGAGAGCTTTAGTGTAGCTTTTTATTTTTTTAATCAGCCCAGAAAAATTATTGATGTTATAGACTAACTACTGCTTGCTGGTCTCCAAGTTGCTTTTGGAGTGACATACATACATGGACATTTTGGTTTTTGCCTCACCATAGTGAAGTTTAAATCTCTGAAATAAGGCGTCAAAGAGCTACAAAGATGGTGAAGATCTTGGAGGGCAAGATGTACAAGGAACAGCTGAGGTCCTGTGGTTTGCTAATCCAGAGCAGAGCAGGCTGAGGGGAGGCCTCACTGCAGCTTTGGGTTGGACTCTGATCCATGTGGGTCTCTTCCAACTTCAGATATTCTCTAATTCTGTAATTCTTAAAGTCTTACCGCAAAACTTTAGTACCTTATTTAAGAGACAGTTTGAGTTAATGAGCTGGTTCTTTTACTTATCTGCAACTTCATAATGGACTTCATAATGTGCACTCTAACAATATCAGTCTTAATCCAGCTCTGTCAATATGCTTTCCTCGGGAACAAATTTTGAGTTTACTGCTAGGAAAAAGTTGGCCTCTCATTTATGAACCAGGCAGGTTGCTTGAGCCTAGGACTGCATTTACATTCTCAGTTTATAGTGTTTGCTTAGTGATTTTCACATTACTTACTCAAAGCACTGCAAAATCCACTAAAGAGAAGATAAAGAAAAAGATGATATAATCACTTCAGGAGTTGCCCAACTTTCCAGACTGGACTATAGGGCAGGAAGGTGGCCTTGTGTTAACCATGCTATAAGGAGGCTGATGAATTGTAGGCTGCCCCACAAACTTTCTTTAGGACTCTATGGGAGCTAAGAAGAAAGCATAGGAAGAAGGAGAAATGTGAACCTGAAAGCTGTGATCAGCTCTGATCTACTCGTAGGTCTTCTGTCCCCAGATGTCAAAGGAGTCTTACCCAGAAGCCATTTAGGACTGAGGTCTACATACCTTTTCCCTTCATAATGGAGCCTTTGAAGAATTTAATATGTTCTGATCACTGAGGAATTATATAAAAAGGGAAGAGGGTCCTGTGTATGGTACAGAATAGCATTTGATGCTGCAATGCTGTAAAAGAAAAATATAGGTGCAAGTCTCAGCTCCATTCTTCAAACAAGACTTAATGCCTGGATTAAAAGGCCTAAGCACTATCACTTGCTTAGGTGTCCCTGAAGCAAATTCCAGAGTTCTGGAATCTGTGCCCAATGAATGATTCTTGACACCTCTTCAGGTGTCACACCCACCCTACATCATGCAGTCTTATAGCAGCTGAATTCACAGAATCATAAATTCATTACAGTTGGAAAAGACCTCTAAGATCATGTAGTCCAACCATCAAGCCACTGCCACCATGCCCACAAGCCATGTCCCTCACTGCCACATTTCCACAGTTCTTGAACATCTCCAGGGATGGTGACTCCACCACCTCCCTGGGCAGCCTGTAGCAGTGCATCACAACTTTTTCTGAGAAGAAATGTTCCCTAATCTCCATCCTGAACATCCTTTTGTTTTTCTCAAGATATGAAATCATGAATTTCAAGAAAATGGGGAAGGACTACTTTGACTATATCAATGTTGGTAGCTGGGACAACGGTGAGCTGAAAATGGATGATGATGAAATATGGTCAGAGAAAAATAATATCATCAGATCTGTCTGCAGTGAACCCTGTGAAAAAGGACAGATAAAGGTAAATATATTTTCTACTTATTTCAGTTATGTGCATAGGCTTGAAATGTGAAAAGAAATTCTTCCTATCTCTTCCATGGAGGCAGTATCCCACACCTTAATTAAACTGTGCAGACTTATAAATTTAGCTCCTGCTCATATCATAGTCTTCTCACTATTTTCATAAGTTAATACTCTGTTGTATTTCTACATCTGTGAACTGTTGCCTTTTTTACCCTTATAATCCAACTGCTTTAGAGCAGATATTGTTTGGTGTGGTTTTTTTTTGTTTTTCTGTTTTTGTTTCTGTGGGTTTTTTTTTGCTGCATATGTTAATAGCATCTGATTCAGTGAAGTGTAAATCCCTGGCTGGGACTTGTCAGTACAACTGCAGGTAATTCATAAATAATAATTGCTACTAATTTAGTGTTAGACATAGACACCTAAACTGGGACATTATTACTCACACCTCACATCTGCGGTATCTTCAGAGAACATCGGTAACTTCTGCTGCTTAGAACTGCGAGAGAAGTAAGTAACATATATTTTTTTAATGATACCTATTTTATCATTTCCTTTCTTTCTTAGGTTGTAGATTTTTTTCCTACCTCCCTGTTGATGGTGGTGTAAGGAAGAAAGATAAATGATTCTGTCATATATTAATTGCACTCTGCTGCTCTGGAGCATTCCATGAAACAAAGCAGCTAAAAAATTAGCAAGTCCCTAACTTGCCTTGAAGTCATTTCCATAAAAGTTTGTGCACTGAGAGGATTGTCATGGACAATAGAATGACATGAACTGAAAAAGAAACAACTTTTCTCCTGTGTTGACATGGCACACACTTGCAAATCTGGGAAGTGGCAGGGGCTGATGGGAAGCTGACCATGCTCTGCAATACCAAGAGTGAAACACTTCTGTCCGTGTCTTGCATAGTTTTAGGACATTACCGTGGTTTATTCACTTGTGGTCTTTTGCAGAGTCAGCAAATTCCATCAGATCAAATAGATGTGCCTTCAGTGTAGTATGTACATGCAGTTATATCAGATTTCCAAACTTCATAGTCAGTGGAAATACATAGATTATTTCAAATCAGGAGTTGTTTATCCTCAGTTAGGATTATAAAACAGTTGAGAGTAATCTTGGTTTAGAAACACATTTATTTTCACTGTCCAGCCAGGACAGCTGGTTCAGATGGAAACAAACTTTCTGCAGACACCTGAGGGAAGGGTGGATGACTTACACCCCCAGTAACTAATCGTAGTGTGTTAGCTTACTACAGCTACTAAGACATATATTCAAGAGGAAAGAGATGGACAAACAGATATTACGTCAGAACTGGCTTACTCTGAGATCCTCTGTAACCTGTTTCCACAACTCAGGAGACGGGAAGCATCTTCAGTAACCTTCAGTAAGTTTCCTTCCACCTTCTGCCTGTGCTTTCAAGGATTCTCCCAAGACAATTATCACGGAATCATTAAGATTGGAAAAGACATGTAAGGCCATCTAATCCAACTGTCAATTCTTCTCTGTCAAGCCAGTTTACCACACACACACATGCTTCAAGACCAGTTTTGAAATGTTCCTTATGCTCTGCGTTAGGCTACCGACTGTGAATCTCAAAGTTTACTGTGTAGTCTTTTATCTTCACTGCATTCACAGATGGTGGGGAAAGCTGGATTCTGCCTAACTTCTTGGTGGCTTTCTTACAGGGTTATGTTGGAATGAGTTATTATGAAGGAATTTGAAACTTTCAGTGTAATGAGAGCTGTTACTCAGCATGGTTTTGTGTAACCATCTGAAGCAGTGGGTAAAATCCAAACATAATCCATCTGTATACATTCAAAATTGTGCAAAGAGATATTATTATTCAGACAATAATAATATTATTATTCAACTGGTTCAATGGATTAGAAAAATGACAAGAGGATAGTTAAAAAAAAAAAAAACAAAAAAAACTTCTGTTTAATGTTTTTTATTATTATTAAAAGGGACAGGAAAGATTGTTCTACTGTTAAAAAAACCTCCAACAAAAAACGCATTCAAGAAACGGAAAGTAAAAGTATGAAGAAATAGCTGACTAAATGATTTTATAATAAACTCTGATTTATGAACAATTCTTTTCATTCCTAAAGGATACAAAATCATTGTTAGTACTGGATAAGAAGTGCTGAGATACTAGTTTTCTTTTCAATTTTTTAGATTCTAAGTATTTTATAGAGGGTGCTAATTTGGTGAGAAGTTTAACATAAAACTGTAAATGAATTGTTTTGATAGAAAAGGTGTTTTCACAATACCATATAGTTATTATTTTGGCATTTCACTTTCTTGAGTTGTAAAAAGATGGATTTTATCAGGCATTATTAACCAAAATATGCCTAAAATTAATACAAGCTTTCTGAGAATTTATTTTGATAAACAGAAGGAATTTTTAAAAACTCCATTGTTCAAACTTTTTGTTTTAGATCAAAATGAAAGAAATCCAAAGATATGAATTTTTCAGGAGGGGAGATACATTGCTTTGCAAGTAGATGTAATCTAAGCTCTTAGAGAGCAAAATATTTATGCTCCTATGTTTTTTCTCCAAGTTTAGCTAATTAGGTGACTTTTATCTCCTTTCATCCTCTACAATTTTATAAACAAAATTCAAATTTCAAATTTTCAAATCCCCCTATTGCTGATGAAAAAGATACAAATTGCACTTTTTATTCACTACAGTTTTATAAAAAAACAATGTGAGCAAGACATTAATTTTTTGTTACACTAAGTTGCATTTCATTTATTGAAAATTCAGTAAGGACATTTGGTTTTGAAGCCCTCTTCTAAATTCACCACTGCATAAAAATAACAAATTTTAAAAAGTCAACAAGTCAATCTACTCATTGTGATATAATTGAAAGTATTTGTTTAAAAATTGTTTAAAAATAACAAAGAGATTGGGAAGCTTTATTAAAAATAATAATAATAATAGTAAAAAGACATATGGACAGAAATCACAGATGTTTTCAGTGCCAGAAATGATAAATAAGGGTCTTGAAAAATCTGCATCTCAATCATGAGTATGCAATTACATTTGGCAACAAATTATAAAATGAGAAATCAGGTCAGATGTTAAAATGGACTAAGATAACATTCTCATTTCTAGGAAATTAGGAATGCAGTAATCTAAATGGTTCCGGAAAGGATGTTCAATTTGTTATTTGGAAAAAAATCAGTTTTAACAAATTACTCAGAATTGAATGAAAAATAAGCATCCAAAAATCTTTGGATAATAAACACTCGAGCTCTTTTCAGTTTGTGCCCAGTGCCAGGACAAGAGGCAATGGGCACAAACTGAAAACAGCAGGTTCCCTCTGAGCACCAGGAAGCATTTCTGTGCTGTGCAGGTGATGGAGCACTGTCACAGGTTGAAGTTATGGAGTATCCCACTAGGAGATCTCCAAAAGCTGCTTGGACATGGTGCTGGGCACCCTGCTCTGGGTGTCTCTGCTGGAACTGGGGTTGGGCCAGATGGGCACAGATGTCCATTTCAGCCTCTGCCATTCTGTGATTCTGTGGCATAACACCACATAATTCCATGTATGGGGCACAATGGAGTGAATTTTATCTCTTGGGTATCATGCACTGGCTTCTGTTTGCACACTGACATCTATGAGATTTTCAATCTTGCTTATTTTCTTCAGAGGAGAAAAAAACTCTTTTTGTGGTTCTATACCTCCACCTGTACTTCTACTGGGTTACTGGTTTCTTCTGGTATATATATATATATATATGGTGTGGGAACGGAGAACTTGTGTCACTTTTTGGATGAACAGCATATCACATCATATCATATCAGGAGTTCTCTTTAACAACAACAAAAAAAAATTAGTCCTTGGGGCAGCATGAACGTACATTTCTGTTGCTAAATCAAATGTCAATTTTTGTCTCAGGTGATTCGTAAAGGAGAAGTGAGTTGCTGTTGGACATGCACTCCTTGTAAAGAGAATGAATACGTCTTTGATGAATACACGTGCAAGGCCTGCCAGCTCGGCTCCTGGCCCAATGATGAGCTTACAGGTAAACAAGTTATGGGTGGGCTTATGTTGTTAATTAATATGTTCATCAGCTAAGCTGAAGAAACAAATGGCAGATACAAGTGAATATGAGGACTCTTTGTTTTAGTCAGATCAAACCTAGAGATACAGCTGAAATCTGAACTCAAACTGGTATTTGTTATCTTTCCTCAAGTTGATCCAGAAGCCCTTAGTTTGATTCAGCTGCTCTCTAAAGGCATAAATTGCAAAATCTAGAAATAAAAAATCTAGTCCTAGCATTGAATTCGAAACTGTCCTAGCACCAAACAGGTTGTGTAGCTCACACCCTTCCTCAAACACACTGAAAAATGAATCATTATCAGAGAAATTATTAAAGAAAATCAAACTGTACACGGTTTTATTTAGTCCCAGGCAGGTACAGAAGAGCTGTGGCAATTATTGCTGTTGAAAGCATCAGTGCTCCAAACAGACTTAGCACTGTAGCAGTCCTTTGTTCACCAGATGGTCTGCTTAAACGTAGGTTTCATGTTCTCCTGGCCATGGTGAAGATCTCCATACACTTGCAGAATGTCAATTTGCCTGCATCCGAGGCAAAATTACTCCAACACTTGTATCCCACAGACTCTCTTCTTTATGACTAATAGACAGGATTTGTGTGTTCAGATGCTCAGAGAACACAGACACTTCAAATGCTGTTCAGGGATCAGGTTCTCATTATAACAGACTTTGCACCAGGGGAGAAAGAGACAGGCTTCTTCTAGAAGAGCTCACAGACTCAGTTTACATATAACTTCTATGGATGAAGTGAGAAATGAGTGAGATTAAAGAGAAGGAAGGCATAAGGAAAAACACTTTGCTGGGTAAGTTTATGTAATTGGAAGAGTGTCAGGTAATGTTCGGCCTTTAGATAGATTTCTATAAATAAGGTTAATCAAAATCTTTCCATGGTAAGGGATGTTACATTGTAGTAATGCATTATACAAAGACAGTAAATAATAATTTAAAAATCATTTAGCTCTGAAATTGATAGGGGATTTATCAAAAAATGCCAGACATGAAATTTCCCAAGAAAACTTTTAACTGATAAAACTGAAGCAGCAGTAAATTAAATTTGTAAACTCTCCTCCAATCCTGAACCTCCAGCACTGCCTTTGTGAGCACACAGCAATCAGTCAGAAAACCCCTCTCACATCAGGAAAAGCATTCTCATGTCACAGGAATGGAGAAGGGAAGAAAAAGAGACCCTAATCCACTTGATTCCTTCTTCCAGCACACAGTACACAGTTTTGAGTATAAACTCAAATTTACATCCTGGCTTGGCCATATATTGACCCGCACTGCAGGGACCAGGCTGCTGCACCAGGCTGATCAACTTGTGAAAGTCACCTGGTGCAAATGGCCAACTCTTCAAACAAATTCCTCTGAAATGCAGCAGTTCCCAGATCACACATTTGTTTCAGCTAGCACCTGAATTTTTACCCAAAGGAGATCAGCTGGAATAACAGCTGCTTCAATGAGGCTAGAAGGGAAATTGCTCTAAGTGCCTAATCTGATCAACAGAGGATCTTTTTTTGAAACAGTGGTGCTTATAACTGCCCATCGTGTTGGAGAATTTGAAGGGAAGGGGAGGGAAGGAAGTAGACTTCATGTGCTGTACGTAGGGCAAAGTGGAGCAGACAGCCTCCAATATGGCTCTGGGGCCTGGGGCTTTGTGCTGGCTCTCCAGGACACTCAGGTCCCACAGCCAGGTATCAGTCTGGGCTTGTGGTAGGATTTATCCTCTCAAGGTATTACTTTGCCCTCAAGAGTGGGTTGATGCTTTTCCACCTAACTCTGGTCATTTCAAAGCAAAGTTGTTCTTCCAGTCAAGCCAACTCCTTCATGTAGTACATGTACTGATATATTTTGAAAACATTACATTTGTCTTTAGACATGCATTTTGTGTTGTAATAGCAATGAAATCTGATAGGCACACATTAAACAACAGTGGACATCAGTGCCAAGCAATGCTTTTCAGGATATCTAATTGTTGCTTCTTAGCCGGGCACAGATTCAGCAGAGTATTTGGTAACTGAACCCTACCTCAGCCAATATGAGCACTGCTCATACAGCACACATTCCTGGTAAAAAGATCCCTATCATCATGGCCCTATGTTTCCTATCTAACTTAACTATTCACATGATGGTTGGATCTGGTCTTGTTTAGCCTTGTATCAAAAACAGATTTTAAAAAGTCTATTCCCAACTTATCTGTATGATATATTAAGCTGTATATTTTTATGATCACATTTATAGACCCAACTTTTGCAGCTTGTAAAGAAATTACCTCTCAATCTAACTTTGTTTACAGCATAAGTTTAGTAATAAATGTGAAGTAAATGTAAGGAGAGAGAAGTGTATTTTAAATTCTGGTGAGGAAACTTCTCATTAATTTTTCAAAGTGCACACCAATCTCCTTGAAATGTCCCTACATCTGATACTGCAGCAGTCTGTGTCTCTTTGCTGCAAGATAAAGTCATATCTTAGGTAGTGTCAGCCTCTCAAGGCCACACATAAAAGCTCACTGGAATAAGTCTTCCTTGCATGGTCACTTTTAGATGAGAGTTCTAGTTCTGAGCCTCTGGTTTTTGAGCCAGTAAATTTATCAGCCATGCAAAAGGAAAGGCTTTCAAAGTGAGGCTGCACCTCACTGTCTGCCAGAGATCTGAACTTAGATAAAAACATTTTTTGAATCCTTTCTTGGCTCACACAACAAAATATCACGTCAGTTTTCTTATACTCAATGACCAGCATCAATTTGGCCACAAACTTCAATATATAAAAGATATAATGGCTGAGATGCTGCTTGCAAAAAGCAGCTCAGTCTTGTTTTTCAGCCACCTGAATGAGAATCACCAATATGAGAATTCAGATGCAGGAGGAGAGCAGACAGAAGGGATGCAACGTGTGTAGGAAAACATTATTCTCATAAAAGATAAAGAGCTGTGAGATCTCAAGTACAGTAAGGCTTAGTAAGTCCAAAGGGAAAGATGAGTGGGAGGAAGAATTTCTCTTGATTAAATCAGTTACTGGAAAATATCTCCATCTAGAAAAACTGAGGCTAGGAAAACAATGTTTAGTCGCTAATATCTTATTCCTTGCAAATTTTATTTTCACTGCTCGTGAACAAAACTTTCCCCAGGGACCAAACTGCACCTAGAATGCAAACCTACTAATTCTCTTTTCTTTTTCCCCAGTCCATGTGTACCATCCCCAAATGCTCTCCAGGTCCATTTCTTTCTCCTGGGCTAGTGTCAACCAATTACGCACTGTAGATCTCCTTCTTCCCCACACACTATGTTAGTAATATGTGTATGTGACACAACCACTTCACACAGCACTCAATGTGACTGAGCCATACTCAATTAGAGCAGAAGAAACACATGATTTGAAGTTCAGAAATATATGCTTACACCTCCAGTGTTCCCTAAAGCACTTACTGGTGCTACATTCACAGTGGGAGGAAGATAAATGGATTCCAGGTGTGTTTAGATATGAATAAAAAAACTTTCTCATCTTCAAACCTTCTTATCTCCAAATCCTGATGCAATCCATTTTTCAGTGGACTGATGAGAATGGCTTTTTGGTTCTCCGGGAACCCACTGACTCTGTGGGCATGATCATCTTCATTCGGAAGGGATTCCTTGGGAAAACTGAACAAGTTTTGCTCAGCAACGCAAAAGTTTGTGAGTGGCTGTAGGAACATCTTGATCTGGTTATCCCTAGGGTTTGTCTGAGGGCATTTTTGAGGGGGAAAGAGACAATTATTCCTTTTTTTCTGTGATTCAGGGACAGTAGAAAGCAAGAACAGAAATGGTTCTCTCTAGTAATTTTAGGGACATCAAAGAAAGCAGATGATATTAATTAAGTGACATTTGGATTATCTTCAGGCTGCGCTGACATTTTCCTCACTCTGTGTGTACTCCAACTATGCTGGTTATTTGGTTTTCTTGATTAGATTCCAATGAACATAGGAGCTGAATTCATGGATAAGGCTAAACATCAGAAATATGCATTTTTGCCATAGTTACAAAAATTCCTTCACCTAATAAGGTGCAGTATACCCAATATAGCAGATTTATGATCTTGTCTTCATGTTCGAAAATGCTAGATAGGAACTAGAGTATCCAAACAACACTTGAATGGCGAGAACTGAAAAAAAAAGTGCATTCCACTTCTATGTGACAAAACACTTCAACATGCTCCGACCATACCTGTGCTGTGTTCTGTTAGCAGCCTGGTCCTTCCTGAGCCCAAGCTTGTACTTACATGAATTCATAGAATCACAGGATCATAGGATCATTTGAGTTACTATCCTTCCTTTCCTGACTTCCTTTACCTGAGGATGGAGAGCTCTTGTGCCCCAAGAAAAGCTTCCTTTGAGATCTGCCATTCCTGCTCTACTCTCTTACATTTGAGGATGGTTTCCCAGGGGAGTTTGTTGACTAAGTCCCTGAAGAACTATAATTTGGCTTTCCTGAGGTTTAACATCCTGATTTTACTTTGTCTGTCCAGTATCCCTCAGGGGCATAAAGTCCACCACTGCATGGTCACTACAGCCTCCAGTGCTGATGTCATCAATCAGTTCACTGGCGTTGGTCAGCAACAGATCCAGCATTGCATCCCCCTTCGTGGGGCCATCTATTGCCTGGCTTGGGAAGTGGTCCTCAGTACATTCCAGGAGCCTCCTGGATCGCTCACAGCTCAACGTGATACTTTTCCTGCACTTGTCAGGGTGGTTGAAGCAAGATGAGAACCTGTGATCATAATGCCTCATGTAGCTGGAGGAAAAAGGCTTCACCAACAAGCTCTGCTTGATCAGGATTTCTCCCTGAGGAACGAAAATGAATGCCTTCCTCATTCTGAGGGCATTGCTCATGCTGTCAGTGAGATCAGCAGAAAACAGGTGGTGCAAGGAGCCCTGGGCACGGTCTGGTACAGCTCGGTTGGGACTCAGCATAGGGGTGATGCTGGTTCTTCCTG